GTGGTGGGGCTGTCCAGCCAGCCCTCATCCTGGCACAGGGCCTCCTGCGTGAGGATGGTGATGTCATCCTCGAACATGGAGTCCATCGCAGGGCGCGGGACGGGCCTTCAGCGGGACGCGCCGGGGCTCAGCCAACCCTGCCTGCAACAGAGCCCCAGGGGCCGGGGGGAAGAGGGGAAGCGAGGCCTAGTGGTTAAGCAGCAGTCCTCCTGCTAGGGGTTTGGTCATCCTCCGGCGGCAGCCAAGCAACATCCAAAGGGCGGGAGAGACGGCCCCTGCCCCAGAGCGCTTACCGCCCCCACGAGCTGACACAGGACGCATGATCCCCAGACGGGTGGGGCCGAGATTTACCCCGGTCACCCAGGGAGTCTGTGGCAGATGCAGGACTCAAACCCAAGTCTCCCACGTGCCAGCCCGGCCACAAGAATAAAGAACCAGTCTGCCTTTGCCAACAAACTTCCCAGCGGGCCTTGGACGAGTCGCTTAGCCAGGGCATTAGCACTGGGGAGACACGCGGGGGGTTGCTTATGGATGGGGAGCCTCTGCGGCCCCCTCCGGAGATATTCCAGTTCTGCCCAGCAGATTCCACAGCTAGGTGCTCTGTTTTTACCGGTGGTGCACATTCACACCTGCCTTGGCGCAGATAAAAAATTATTCCGCACGTGGGTGGAGGGAAAAATCCGCGGGTGGGGGGAAAGAGGGAACACTGGCGGACAGCGGGTGAGGCTTTTTAAAAGCAGACCAGGAGACGGGCAGAGAACGGTCCCCATCTCACAGCGGCAGGGAGACAGATGGGAGTTTACGAATGAACTGCTAGTAAAAAAAAAAAATAAAAAAAACCAGAGCCTTCTCTCCTGGAACACCAGAGGAATCCGGGGCACCGTGGCTCCAGTCTGGTGAGCGCAGCGGGCGGATAAATTAACAAACCCCGGTAACGATGAAATGAAAAGATCTCGCGGCCGGGAGACGGGTGCCGATGGAATGGCTTTAAAAAAGGGGGCGGAGTCTAGAAGGACCCAAAGTTCTCACTAGCCCCTCCCTTCCCCCAACATCCAGAAGGAGGGGAGCCTAGGGCCTGACGCAGCAATGCTAGTGGCACAGCGAGTCACAGTAGCCAAGGAGGCGGATGCGAGCGGAACCCGCCGAGCAATTTCAGTGCCGGCGCGTCCTCACCTTGCATCCGAGGGGACGAAAGCCACGGCAATCGCCAGAGCCCTGGTCCTAAGGAATCTACAGCCTTGTCCAGGCAGATCTCAGAGGGTTACACGTCGTTTGGGTCCCGAAAGAATATCCTGGCTGTGTCTAGACTGGCCAGTTTTTTTGGAAATTCAGCCGCTTTTCCGGAAAATCTTGCCAGCTGTCTACACTGGCCGCTTGAATTTCCGCAAAAGCCCTGACGAGCTCATGTAAGATTGTCGGTGTTCTTGCGGAAATACGATGCTGCTCCCGTTCGGGCAAAAGTCCTTGTACACAAAACTTTTGCGCAAAAGGGCCAGTGTAGACAGCTCAGATTTGTTTTCCGCAAAAAAGCCCCGATCATGAAAATGGCGATCGGGGCTTTTTTGTGGAAAAGCGCGTCTAGATTGGCACGGACGCTTTTCCGCAAAAAGTGCTTTTGCGGAAAAGTGTCCGTGCCAATCTAGACGCTCTGTTCCGAAAATGCTTTTAATGGAAAACTTTTCTGTTAAAAGCATTTGCGGAAAATCATACCAGTCTAGACGTAGCCCATCAGTTAGGAAGGGGTTTTTTGGCTACATTTATACTCATCTAATTTTTAGCCTGCGGGCAGTTACGCTGGTCAAAAGATGCTTTCTACCAGTGGCGTATCTTCTCCCCATATAGGTACAGGCTGAACCTCTCTAGTCCGGCAACCTCCGTGGTCCGGCAGGATGTGAGTTCACCAGATGCCCGCTTTGCAGGGGTGTGGCCAAGTGTTCTGTGGTCCCAGACAGTTTGTTTACAGCCCCCAGTCCTGGCTCTTGGTGTCCCGGGCTGTTTTTTTGCTCTAATTTACCCCCAAAATGTCTTCTAAGAGGTCAGCCAGCAGTGGGAGTGCTCGACCATCCTGACCTCCCTGATTCGGCAAATTTTCCGGTTCGGCCCCACTCAGGTCCCGAGGATGCCGGGCTGCAGAGGTTCGACCTGTATCAGCACCTTGCTACCAGTGAAACCGCAGCTGCTCCAGGGCAGAAGGCAGGACTTTACCACCACCCGCCTAGTTAAAGCAACATTGCTCCTGCGTAGACAGGATCGGAGCCCCACCACCCCTGTGGGGCAGGCAGTGGCGAATTCCAGCAGGAGGCGACGGGAATGGAACCGGGCTGCTTCACCAAGGCACGCGAGGCGCTCGTAGCGCAGAGGTGATGTGCCGGAGGCGGGGGGAGGGGGGTGTCCGTGCCGTGCCAGGAAGCGGGGGTGAGCGGAAGGAGTCTGAGCCACTGTACCGAGGGAGCCAGACGTGCACATTAGACTCCCCTGCGATTCGTGGCCCAGAGAATTAAGGGACTTGCTCAAGGCCCCAGAGGAAGTCTGTGGCTGAGCCAGAAATAGATCCCCATCCCTGAGGTCCCCTGCCTTCGCCGCATGGTTCACCTTCCTCCCTAGAAATACAAGGCAGGACTCCAGTGCGCCCTATGGAAAAACATGCCCCCCCACCAAAAACCCAACCAGCCCCCCGATTCCTGGCAGAACCCCCCCGTGCAGACCAGGCCGGGACACCCTCTCTGCTTCAAGTCACCAGTTTGACTCCAGCCTGGCCCAGCTGCTGATGGAACGACGGGAAGGAGACGGAGCTGCAGCAGGCAGGTGCCTCCGGCACAGCTGGCACCAGCAAGGAACCAGGCCGTGAGGAGCCCTCGCTCGTTACCAGCTGGGTCCCTCTGGGGACAGGCTAATGGACTAAGCAGGATCCAGGCGGGGGAACAGCCCGGCTCCCTCCCCCCGCCCCCAGGGCCTGAGCTGCCCTCCACCTGGAGGGATACTCCCGGGCACCAGCTAACCATGACCTGGGAAGCAGCACCCGCTAAGGCTGTGGGTAACCAGTAACCCCTCCCCATCTACTCAAATGCAAGGCGTTTTTAACTGGAATTGTGCTGGCCAATGCAGCACACACCAGTGTAACCGGCAGGACCCAGCAACTAACTCAGTGGTGAAGACCGACCGTGAGAGTCAGGGGAGCTGGATTCTCCTCCCAGCTTTTCTGGGGACGGTGAATTCAGCCGTTCCCTTCCTCTCACCGAGCTGCCAGGGCTCCTTAGCCAGCAGGCTGTGTCGCTCCCACTGCGGGATTCGCTGACAGTCCCGAGCAAGCCTCTTTGCGCCAGGCGCTGTACACGCCCAGCTTGCCAGCCCTCTGGAGCGAGCACGCGGGAGATACGGGTGTTAGCGCTTCGCACGACAGCCCGAGGGGGAGTAAGCGGCAGACGTGGGAACAGAACCCAGGGCCCGCGCGCCCCAGCGTGCTGCTCTAGCCACCGGGCCGGATCCGAGTCGAGGCCTTGATGCCCGACTGTCATCCGACCCGTTCGATCAGCTCCAAGCCCTCCGGACTCGGAATCTCACCGCCCAGAGCGGACGCCAGTTGCGCTCTGCAGAAGCCCGGCTCCGTTTCAAGCCGCACGGCTATTCAGATATGACGGCTGCTCCCCCACCAGCTCCCTCGCCGGCTCCCCCTGCTCCCAGCCCGGTGAGAGGGCCAAAGCAGCAGGAAAGCACAGCCAGGCCCAGGGGCTCGGGTTCCTGAAAGAGCCCAGGCCACAACCTCCAGGGGGAGGAGGAAGGCTAAAAGATAATGCGGCCACTGACCTTTACTTGCTCCCTGAGCACCTGTGTTCAGCCTCTTGTTAACAGAGAGGACGCAAAGCCAGCACCACACACAACCTCTTAGGGGAGCAGGAGAGTTACAGGAGCTAGTAATAAACCTTGATGTTTATACCGGAGCCCGGAAAACGTCATTCATCCTCGGACCACTGCCACGAGGCACTGGGAGGAATGGTGGGGTTGTGAGACCTGCTTCCCAGATGGGGAAACCGAGGCACGGGAGGATTCCAGCCTAGCTTGTCCAAGAGTGGCCATGGATTGAGACACTGTAGGGGCCTGACTTTTGGAGGGCACTGAGTAACTGCAGCTCTAGTCAACCGGATCTCGAGGGGCTCAGTTCCTCTGACCGCCACATCCCCTACACGCCCCGCAGGTTGGGCTCCCTAAAAACAGAAGCGCCCAGACGTCAGCATCTACCTGAACACGTGGCTGTTAGTCACAAAGAGAACCTGTGTCAAAGCCAGGAATAGCCTGGGCTCCCAATCGGTGTTCCCTCTAATTTTTGCCAACCATGTGCAGAATAATGTTATGTGCGCTGAGGTAGGTGCGGATGTGCACCACCAGGAGAAACAAAAAACCTAGGTGTGGGTGTGCTGTTACTCAGCTGGCTGGCATGGGAATCTCTCCTGAGCAGCCGCCCAAGCGCCCAGCGTACAGGGAACACGGCTCCCAATGCCATGTTCTAACCATTAGACCACGCTCCCACCCTGAGTTAGGATCAGAAACCAGGCACCCCAAGTCCCATCCCCGTCCTCTGAGCCCTATCCCACACTTCTGCCAACTCCACAAAACTCCACACACCCCCGCCGCCGCATTTCCAGATCTAAAACTCCCCTCTGGATTCTATTCCTGCTTCTGAGTATGGTGTTAATGGGCTTTCTTATGGCGTACGGCCAACTGGTGGGGGGTGCAGCAGCCCCCCCCCCCCCCCCCACAAGGGCACTCTAGCCCTCCCCCGGCTCCCCTCCCGTTTAATCGGTTAACCATCCCTACTTCTAAGGGGGGAGTTGACTCAAGAGTTTACCACAGGATGACTTGAGAAGCAGGACTCCTGGGTCCAATCCTGGATCCAGCAAGGGATTTGGGTCTAGTGGTAAGAGCAGGATGGCAGGGTCCTCGTCCCAATTCTGCCACGGCCGCGCCACGTGCTCCCGTTGCCGCTCCGTGCCTCGGTTTCCCCACCCGTGCAACACGGCTAACGAAACCTCCCTGCCAGCGTGCCGTGCTGAGTATTCTCCCCCGGCAGCCCTGCCGGAGGGACCCGAGAGCCTACAGCAGCGTCCGATCAATCAAAACACAGAGCCCCTCCCCGGCTCAAACAG